CAGAGAAATACAAATGAAAATCATTATGAGGTATCACTTCACAGCTGGTAGAATGACTATTATCAAAAAGATGAAGGATGTTTTGGCAAAGATTTGGAAAAAATGAAACCCTTGCACACTATTGGTGAGAATGCAATTAGTATAGCTATTATGGAAAAATGTATGGAGGTCCTTCAAAAATTAAAAAATACAACTACCATGTGATCCAGCAATCCCACTATAGAGTATCATGCAAAAGGAAATGAAATCCATGTCAGAGGGACAACGGCACTCCCCTGTTCACTGCAGAATTCTTCACAATATCTACGATGTGGCATCAACCTAAGTGTCCATTGATGGATGAACGGCGAAGAAAATGTGGTACATATACACAATGGAACGCTATTCCACCTTAAAAAAGAAGGAAATCCTATCATTTGAGACAATGTGGATGAACCTGGAGGAAATTAAGTGAAATAAGTCAGGCACAGAAAGACAAATACTGCGTGATCTCCCTAATATGTGGAATCTAAAATGAGTCAAACTCACAGAAGCAGAGAGTAGAATGGTGGTTATAGTGGCTGGGAAAGGAGGGAATTGGGGAGATGTTGGTCAAAGGATACAAACTTTCAGTTAGGAGGCATAATTCAAGAGATCTATTGTATAATATGGTGACTACAGTTAGCAACAATGTATTATAGTCTTGAAAATTGCTTAAAAAGTAGATTTTAAGTGTTCTCACCACAAAAATAAAAATCTGAGGTAATGCATATGTTAATTAGATTCACTTGGCCATTCCACAACATATACATATTTCAAAACATATTGTACATTATCCACATATAGAATTTTTATTTGTCAATTAAAAAAACAAATGTGTAAAAAAGGATTTACCTTCTTCTAGGCTAGATAAATTTTAAAAAGACGCTTGCGTCTAACATAGAGAATAAGCTAATGAACAAATAAATAACAGAGAACCTGAAGAAAATATGTCTTAGCCAAAATTCCCCAGAAAGCACCGCCTGAGATAAAAACCTATATGTGAGCCCTTTATTGGGGAGTAGATCCCAGGGAACAGGCCTGAAGGACAGGGGTAAGACAGCATGTAGGAAAAAAACAAAAGTGGGGCAAAGGCAATATATGTAACTTAACCATTTGTATCCCTGTAATATGC